TCTAAGATAGTGTCTTCCTGTAACTGCCAACCTGGAGCACACACGTAATAGCCAGACCCTCCGTCAGGTTCCAACTCACAACAATAACCAAAGAAGCAACAAGAGACGCTTGGAGCTGCTGGAACACCCCAGCACAGCACCAGTCAAGCGACACACAAGACAGCAGCTATAGCTGCTGGACAACCTAACAAAAGGCCACACTCATGCAGCTCAGCAAGGCATCCAGCTCCTGCTCTTCACCTTTTCTGCCAGGCTGTAACCACAGCAAAACCAGGATCAGTTTCAGTCTCTCAGCTAATTGCAAAGCCTCCTTACTTTTCCTCTCTGCTTGCATCCTCTCCACATTCCGAGATTCGCATCAGCCTTCTGGAAGATCAGTGCAGTGGTGACTGGAAACAGCTGACCTCAAATGCTGAAGACCCAAAAACTGAAACCACTGAATCCTAAAGACTTAATGAATCCAAACCACCTACTGCAGTCCCTTATATTATTTCTTAATTTCTCCACCCCGTAAATATGATACTTTTTAGCATTTTCTCTGGGGCATTATCCTCATCAACAACCCCCTCCAGGGGCACCAGTTACAATTTTAGAAAATAAATGGAAGATGAGAAGAGAACATAGAGAGTGTACTGAAAATTGTCAGGTTTTCCTGAGGACCAGTACATATACCAAGACTTGGAGAGTATTAGCTGAGTTTCCAATTTTTTGTTTTACCAAATAATCATGTTGAAACAAAGCAAGACCATAAAAATCACTAATAATGATATATAAACTATAATGAGATATTAGCCTTATACCCATCAATATGTCTACTATTAAAAAATAAAGCAGAAAGTGGCAAATATTGGCAAGGACATGGAGAATTGGAAACTGATGCACTGTTGCTAGCAAGTAAAATGCAATAGCTGCTATGGAAATCAGTGGGGAAATTCGGGAGCCATGGGTCATACTTTGAACCTTCTAGACATTTCTGCATTAGTCCAGTGGTGTCACTTAAAGGTGGAACTGGGTGTATGGAGATCCTGCCATGGTCTTGGTCTTGGTGTGTAGACTTTTTTTTATTTTTTTAGCAGCTAAGCACTTAAGCACTTAATATAGATGATCACCATTCCACTTGTGAACAGTGCTGTCTGTTCTCATCTAGTCCTTTTTCCATGATGTCAAACAGGGCCTGACATTGTTTAATTCAATGGAATAGCCATGGGTTATCTTCCATAGGAAGAGTTTGCTGAAAGGAAAGTTTGTGGTCTGGAAAAAATAGCAGACTTAAGATATTCTCAAAAGTTTCCAGAAAAAAAGACCAGAATGAAGGAGGGCACAAAAGAACTAAATAAATGGAGGAAAAGGGAAGATGGATATTTACTACATAAGGAATTTTTTAAAAGAAACACACAATATAGGCAGGGATACATAGAGAATTGTGTTGGATTTGTAGATTTATGTAAGTTGCCCAAAAAGTCCACCTGTATAAAAAGCAACTTATGGGGCCATCCCTGGTGGTGCAGCGGGTTAAAGTACAGAACTAAGAAGCTAAACCCACTTCAGCATGAGTCTGACCCCTGCCCTGGTGGTGATCCTCATGGCGAGGCAGACCTCTCCTGACTCGCTTGCTGCTCCCCTCAGCGGTGTGTTTTGTTGGTGTGCCTGTTCTGCTCCCCACTCTGTCTCTGGTGAATCCTCTCACTGCCCCTGCACCTCTGGCCTGTTCCCCAGTTCTGTATGCATAAGTAAATAAATCTTAAAAAAAAAAAGTGCAACTTAATAAATCAGCTTCACGTGCTATGTTATATGTTTTAGATGTTTACGCTATACACCGTCCAGCAGTGTCTGCGATGGATTCTGTTAAGGCCTCCCTTCAGGGAAGAACTGTGCTGCTGCCAGACAGCCTCTACCTGTCAGCTCTTTTGGCTGCAACAAGCTGCTTGCAGGAAGTCACTTTATCAAGGTGGGGGTAAAAAGTCCCACCAATTTTGTCCCACTGTGAGACACTTCAGCCATAGGGCTCTTCATGAGATTGGGTGAGGCTGGGAGGGCGGGGATCATATTTCACTGCTAACATCTTTCTCTGCCCCCAACCTTTCCTCTCTTTACCTCCCTCAAGGATTGTCCCAAAGTAACTTCCTAGCTGACATCCTGTTAGCAAAACTCTGTCCAAAAGTCTGCTTCCTGTAGATGCTAAAGAGCAACAGCATCTTATTGACTAAATTAATCAAAATTGGAGAACCCTAGAGAATAGAAAATAAACATCAAACTAAGCATTAACATTTGAACTCAGTATTTCCTTATTTTTCATTTTGAATTGCTTATAGTTGCCATTATATTTCACATTTTTTACAATATAGAGGCTTGCTATCTTTACCTTGCCTTTCTTATAGGAGTCGTATTGTGGATACATAATAAGGTGATGGGGTAGAAAAAACAAATAGGATATTTCCTTCCCTCACACAGGAAACCCACAATTTCAAAATTGGCCTAAGTAACAAAAGAGGAAATATATTGGAGCTGTAATTTATTTTGAATGTTTTGCCAATAAAAAGTTCTGAAGTAGTCTGATTTCTAGAAGAATTATTCATGAAACTATCTGATTTTGTTTAAGCTTGAAGGTTTAATCCATCACTTAAAACTTTTTGACATACACAGAACTAGTAATTTTGAGTACCACCCCATCTTTATCTATAGCTCCACAGGAAGGCAGAATGTGTATTCCTAACCCAGTCCTTTCTTTTTTAAAAGTCTTATAGCCTAGCTTATGAAGATGGAAATGATGAAACTAGGGCTGATTCCATTACCTTCTCGCCTCTACTCTCTCTGGTCTGTCTGTGATCTGATTTTTCTGGATGTATATTTAGCAGAAGAGGCCCCAGGGCAATTTGTTCCCTGATATTGTTGTTGTTGTTGTTTTAAAGATTTATTTATTTATTCATACAGAACTGGGGTACAAACCAGAGATGCGGAGGGTGAGAGGGGCCACCAGAGACAGAGTGGGGAGCAGAACAGGCTGACTGACAAAGAACACTGCTGAGGGGAGCAGCGGGTAGGCTAGGAGGGGTCTGCTGCGCCATGTGGTCACCTCCTGGGCAGGCGGGGATCGAACTCATGCAGAAGTGGCTTAAGCTTCTTAGTTCTGTGCTTTAACCCGCTGTGCCACCAGGGAGGGCCCTCTCTGATATTGTTAAAGGCATCTGCATAAAAGGTGGCGATAATATTCCCTCCCTCCCTGAGTGGCCAGGTGATGCTACATAACACAGAAAGCATGTGGACTTGGGGAGGAGACATTGGGGAAACCTAGTGAAGAAGAGCTCACATGGTTGTCAGCTTTGGATTTGCAGTGGGGACTTGGGGGTCTTGGAGGAGGAATGTGGAGGTGAGACATGTAGAGACCATAGAATTCAAATGAGTGGGGTTCCTGGTTCCCTCAAGAAATATTTTGGCAGTCCCCATTCATTGGCACATAGTTTATTAAGGGAAAGATGTTTGCACAGACACAAACAACCAAAGGCTGCATTTTAAAAAGGGCAGGTTTCCTAGAAAAAATAGGGGGGAGAGGGGAAGAGGTGATAACATAGAGATAGGCCTTTAAGAGCTGCATTTTGCCAGAGCAAAGAGTGCTCTTATTTGGTGTTCTTTGGGGGATTCATTCCTTTGTGGAACTTTATTGCTTTGGGGTCTTGTGCTAGTTTTCTGTAACTCATCATCCTTTCCATGTCTACTATAGATTTCTGGAAACTTCCATAGCCAGTTTAACAACTGGTTATTCTTCTTTATCCCCATCTTGTCTTGTGAGGTTCTTGTCTTTTGAGAACTTCCATCTAAATTTTTCTACTCGTAGCTTCCATTAGACACATTTGGAGGAGACACATGGGTGAGAGACTCACAGGCAGGCTGACAATGTCAGTCATGACCTTGATTCATGCTTTGATTTTGCTCCTTTTGTCTCACACTTGCCTGGTCCCTTTATCGCCTTTTCTGTGGTTCCCCACCAGAAGCTGCCTCAGCAGCTTCACTCTGGCTGACCCTCTTTGACTGGGCATTTACCCATCAGGGTACAGGTAACTGGGTGTTTTGTTGGGAAACTATTATCCTTTCTTCTCTTATACATTAATTCTATTAAAATTCTTTCACACTAAGAACCTGCTTTGTGTCGCCTCTGCACACAGATGACCAGACCCCGTTAGAGCACTCAGGTTTGGTGGTCCTGGGGTAACCTCTTGGCTGCCGGCTAACAATCTCACTTTGGAATAAAAAGTGTATGGTGAGTGATTGTCCTGACCATTTAGACCAGAATTTTAACTTCATGAACAAAATTGAGATACTGTTTTTATGTTTTTCTAGGATTTTCTTGATAGCAGGCATCTTTGATGTTACAAAGTATACACTGGAGACACAACTTCCTAAAGAGTCACTGTGAACACTGGAGATCATTATTTCAGATAATTAATGAGACCATGTGAGACCATGTGGTCCAGTTGAGGAGTGTGATAATCTCTTATAAGGCAAGACAAGAGGAAAGGGAGGGAATGAAGAGAAAGGGGGGGGGGGACACTTTAAGGATTCTAGTTCAGGCTTTGTGGTGTGTGTCCCAGTTTCCCCATCAAGAATGGGGGATTAACATCCACCTTACCTGGCTGTGAAGATTAAAAAAAAAAAAAACAAAACAAACAAACACAAAAAACAACTGCGGGAAAGCACTTCTGGCTGACAGAAGTATTCAGAAAATGTCAATTTCCTGTGCATTCCTGCTAGTAAACCCTCATAGCCCCACAAAGTCTGATGAACGCTGCCCGTTCCTATCCTAGTTATGGCATTTGAGATCATAAAAATTCTCTTTTTTCTTTCTTCTGCTCTCCAAGACAGGCTGTCTCGATTCCCCAGAATTCGGAAGCCTGCCCTCCCAGGGCTGTCCAGCCCCCTGTTGCTAAGGTCAGGGGAGGAGGGCTCCGGCTCCCGCTCCGGCCTGCGCAGCGCAGCGGGGAGGCGACCAGGCAGCCAGCGGAGGCGGGCGCAATCAACCCCAGGGTGGAGAAAAGGGAAGGCGAAGGACGCGCGTTCCCGGGCTCGTGACCGCTGGCTACGCGGGGAACCCGCGCCTAGACAGCCCTGGAGAGATGGCAAGCGGTGGGGACCGGCGCGCGGGGGACACCCTCCACCTGCTGCTGCTAGTGGCTACCTTGTCCCCTACGATGCTGGGCGCCGTCGCCTGGACAGAAGAGAAGGTGAGGGGCTGTGGCTGCGTGATGGCCCCTGGGCAGCTGTTGCAGGGTGCGGGAACGCCGGGCGGGGCGAGCCCCACCTAGGTGGGGCGGGACGCGGGACAGAGCCGCGGTTCCTGGCGCAGGCACCCTGCCTTTACCGAGCGTCGCAGGACCCTGGCTCTGCGTCCTCCCCCGGGTGCCTCGATGGCCGGGCGAGGCACCACGGGAGACGCCACGGAGCTGGGTGATGTCACCAGCCTCCCCTGCCTCCGGTCTGGTGCGGGTCCTGATGGGCACAGGAAGTGGGTTTCGCTCGAGGCTACTATGCCTGGAGGTGAGGTCGCCTCATCCAGTCCCTGCCCACTCAGACCCGCAAGGCCAGCGGTCTGGCGCTCCCCACGCCGACACCGAGCCAGCAGAGCCTGGGGGGTGTTCCAGCCGCTCCCCACCGCTGCATCCCAGGAAGCCCTAGGGACGATGAAGTTTCCATGCAGCCTCTGGACAGACATATGCTGTTGATTGTCTGTTTTAGATTTTTAAGCAGAGGCGCTCTCAAAGAAGGAGTTTAACTGACGAGGCGCTTGATTTTTAAAATATTATTTTCTCAAAAGAATAAAATACAGTGGTCAGAGAAAATGAACTTAGTTGTAGGTGGAGATTTCGTACAAGGGACGCAGGATAAAAGTGATTTGCAACTTCCCTCTGTGTGAAATAAACAGGTTCACAATTATTTTCCTTTCTTGGGTAACCTCCTGAGGTGATGACATTGCTAGGAACTTATGCAAATCTGAATGGTATTGGAGAAAAAAAAATGGCATACTTTTGAAAGTGCTATTCAACAGATCTTTACATGCTTACAGTATGCCTGCGTTTACTCACATATTTGACATGCAGGGCACAGTAGTGAAGCAAGAGTCTGGGGTGACCCAAGTGTCCTCTCTCACCCAGCCACAAGCATATGGACACCAATAGCCTACCTCAGTTCTCTGGGTTGTGCTTAATTAGCCCCACCATTCAGGGCCCATGTCCCCACTTACACAAAGAGACCACCAGCCACAGACAACCTGTGGGCTGAGGGAAGTCCACTCAAAAATGACTTCACTGTTCAATAAAAGCTGCTACTTCCCATAAGGTTCAGTAGAAGTGACATCTATCAAGGAACGTTGTTAAGTAGTTACATTCTCTCTTCACATCACTGTAGGTACCCCCAGATCACAAAGTGGGAAGGGAATCTGAAGTACTTGAATACAAAGGCACAACAGACATGTCTTTATGATACAGCTAATGGGTGGGGCTGTTTGAACAAAGCGAAGGGGATTGTTGGTAGGCAGGATGAATTTGTGAGTGGAAGAAAGTGCTGTGATTCTCAAAATGTTTTAAACTAATGAGAATTGAACTCTTGAGAAATATCTTGTAAGGTAAAAGCGCCCATTCACATGTATTCTCAGAAGCTTCTAATCACTTCCTTTGGTAAAACCAGTTGCTTTCAAATGGCTTTTTGTGAAGGAAGCAAAAAGCACAATCAGCTGTGATGATTCCTGATTTCTGGTCCCCTCCTCCCTTATTTTTTCAGGTTTTCATATAAAGTCTCCTGGGTGGTCAGTACAGTTTGCAGCCAGGGAAATGAATTTGTTCGCACTGAAAGACATGGCTCCCTGCTTTATATGACATTTAACTATTTTATTTATTTTTATTTTTTAATTTTTTAAAAGATTTTATTTATTTATTCGTACAGAACTGGGGTACAGGCCAGAGATGCGGAGAGTGAGAGGATTCACCAGAGACAGAGTGGGGAGCAGAACTGGCAGACTGACAAAGTACACTGCTGAGGGGAGCAGCAGGCGGGTCAGGAGAGGTCTGCCCCGCCATGTGATCACCTCCAGGGCAGGCAGGAATCGAACTCATGCTGAAGTGGCTTTAGCTTCTTAGTGCTGTGCTTTAACCCGCTGCACCACCAGGAAGGGCCCCATTTAACGATTTTAATCAGGTGAGGTGTGCCCTTGGTACGCTGCTTTGCCAAAAGGTGCGGTATGGTAAAGAAAGCCTGGATTTTGAAATCCATTTTCATTGCTTTGAAAGAAAGGTGTGTCTCTCCCAGAATCACGTAATAGGGAAAAACAGTTCAACCCTAGTTTGTGGTTATGCGTAGAAAATTGCTGACTTGAAACTTCTAAACAATTTTCCCATAGAAGCAATATTGCCAATCGTTCGACTCAAAGCTGGGCCCACAGGTGTATATGCAGGGGCATCCACATGCCAGGTATTTGATATGGCACCATCTCACCTGCATCTCACGGTGGCCTCTGGAGCACTTACTGATGTGAAAACTTGATCACAGTTACACCACGTCCTTTCCTCCTCCAGGTCTTTTGGGGTGGGTAAGTCCTACCTAAAACTTCAGGGCACAGTGCTCAGGAAGTGAAGAGTGTGGTGTGTGGGACCAGAGATACAGGCAAGTTGTCCCTTTTTGGTTTAGGGACCCTACATGGAATTCCAAAATAAGTAGCTAGCTTTTGGCAACTTCTTTCATTCTCCCACTCCCCCTTTCCCTGTAACGTAAAGGTCATTCTGGGATAGATTTTATTCCAATGTTACTTTTGTCTCCTGCTCCCTCTCCCTGTTCCCCAACCCCTTTCCTTTGTAGAGACAAACTTCTTTAGTACAAACCGGTCAACTAACTGTTTAAAGGTATACTCCTAGATCAGTCCTTCCTCAGCATGAATGACTACTGGCTGTCGAAAGGGTTTCAACACATGTATTTAAAAGGAAACTAGTAACTCCAATGCACTGAAAAGCACAGTTTTTTTTTTTTGAAGTTTCCCAATTTTTCAGTTAATATGTACTCATCTTAGAAAACCAGGAAAATACAGAGAAGTGTATTAAAAAGTTAAGTATTTTCATTTATAATTCCACATTCAGAGCTAATTGCTATTAACCATTTTAATATGTTTATTTCTAGTCTTGTTCTTCCTCTCTCTTTCCATATATACACATATATACATACATACAACCTGTTTTCTATTTGCAGAGATAACTATACTTGTGTCTGGGTTTTAATGAGAATTGCATGAGCTACACATGTAAAGCATTTAGCACAGTGGTTGGCATATAGTAAATGCTCGATAAAGTTATTGTTAAAAATAAACATACACAAGTGTTTCATGTATATGCTACATATATATCTTGCTATGTCTCTCAATACTTTATCATTAGTATCTCCTTGAGCCAATAAGACTTACTTAAAAGTTACCAGTTGATGGTTATAAATCATCATCTCATAATTTAACTATACTTTTAGATATTAAGATTATTTCTAATCTTTACCATAAAGCTGGAACTAATATATTTGCTTTTTTTTTAAGGTTTATTTTTTATTTTATGCATTCAGGAACTAGGGTATAGGCCAGAGATGTGTGTGTGTATGGAGGGGGTGCTGGTGAGAGGATTCACCAGAGTCAACATGGGGAGCAGAACAGGCAGATGTACTAAAATACACTGCTGAGGGGAGCAGCAGGTCTGTTGTGCCATGTGGGTCAGCTTCCTGGCCAGGGATCGAACTTGGCTGCAGAGGCTGAGGACAGCTCCATAGTGCTGCACGTTAGCCTGTTGCACCACCAGGGAAGCCCCACCTAATATATTTTCATTGGTAGGATTTTCATTTATTTTCACAAAGGTAAGGAGAAATATTCAAGTCATAGTAGGGGTAAAGGGGCAGGTGCTTTGAATAAAGGAACCACAAACCAGAGAATTGGCCTCACCTAATAGTCCTCCAGGGTCAGCTCTGGGCAAACTATTTTAGCTCTTTCCAACAGGTTGGATTCTTTGGGTTCTGGAGCCACACGTATTCTAAAAGTCCTTTGTGTTTCCCTCTTCCATGATTCTAAAAGTCCTTAGCTCTTCTCTTGGAAGCAGCAATGGAGATGCCACAAGACAGGGCTAGGGAGGTCAGTGGCAGGTAGGCCAAATTTTGATAGGAGAAGAAAGCATGATGTGCCATTCTGGAGCTTCTATCTGGCAGGTGAATACTAGACCAATCATTTTTCAGATAAGGAAGCATTTCCATGTCACTAAAAAGTGACAGAACTAGAATTGGGCTTTTAGGTAGAGGGCTGTTAGCATTGATAAAGTAAAAAAAAAAAACAAAACAAAAAACTTTTCTCATTAATTCCCAACTTTTCCACAATTGCAATAGTACTGTTAGCAGCATCTGACACATACAAATTCAGTCAATGTTGGCAACATTGAATTTACAGGTAGACACAGGTGCTAATTGAGCAGTGTCTGGGAGGCACTCACATGGCGTGGGAACTGGAACGGAATTGGCTGTGTGTCTGTAATGATCTCCCTTTAAATCAAAGGTCTGGAACCTCAAATCTCCTGCAAGCTGGGCTAGCTCTACAAATTATGTAATTAAAACCCCCTTGGCCTGGCACCCTGTGATTCGCCTAGAGGAGATGCTTCAGGATATCTGGTTCACATTTTAGAAAACAGAAAGATTCTTGTCAGCCAAAGTAGACTTATTGTACTTTCTGCCTGGTTGAAAAAGACAAGGCTTGTTCTTCTGAGAATGTCTGAACCAGTAGAAATTCATCGAAGTGCCTGCTCACTAACTTAAACCTAGAAAATTGGGGGGTTTGCCTTTAACAGTGGGCTCACTACAGTTTTGCCTCATTTACTTTCCACGTGTTCAAGTCATGCTTTTCCCCCAAGTGTCTCCTCTTTATTCCTTCCTCTCATCTCCACAGTTTTGTATTTATTGAGTTCTGAGAGCAAGGCTCTATAAAAATCGAATGGATGCCATTTAGGTTGGAAAGGTCAAATGCTTTTCCATCCAATGCTTTAATGAATAGAAAGGTTTAAGTAATTGATCAAGTGTGGTGGTTTCCCCTCCTTTATCCTTTACTGACTGGAAAGCTTTTATCTTTGTGATTTCACAGGGGGATCTGTACCCCTAGGGAGGCGGAGAGATCATGGCTCTTTACTGAAGGATGGTCAAGCTAGGAGCTTGAGGAACACACCTGTGAGTGTTTGTCAGGACCATCAATTGGCCTGTCAACTGGACTTACCCATCATTCATCCAACAATTTTTGGTGTTATTTGTCAACTCTATTTTTTCCATAATACTTGGTACAGCTGCAGATACTCGAGGCTTATTTATTTTCCTGTTCTCTCTCTAATCTCTCAAGAATTCTTTCAAGCTTCCACAAGTCATCTGTTTTAAGCACAAACTTAATTTATTTTCAGTGTGGACATGCAGTGAAGCATCCTCGGTGACTGACTAGGCTCTGGGAAAGAATAATGAACAGTAAATAAGGACACTGGTGAAATGCCTCTGGCACAATAGTTGATTATGACAGTGACTGCCCCAGTTAACCCACCTGTAAATCACACCCAGGGCAAAGCCCACTCTATGGAATCACTGCATTTTCTGGTTCTTTATGCCAGTAGCTGCCTATCTCCTTCATCTTTATAATTGCTAGTGCAGTCAACTGACTAGGTATTTATGATGGCCGAAATGCCCACTTTGTTGTTATGGAAACATAGTCTTAGTGCAAATGGTTGTAGAAAGATAGTACATCTGTCCTTACCTAGAGTTTATTGAGAGCTTAATGTGAGCCACTGCATGACTCTGGGGAAATAAAAAAGGGCTTTTATTTTATGCCTTCCTGGAGCTAACCTGCTGTATGCAGGAATGACATCTTCCTCGAGTCAACCAAGGAAGCGGCCTCCAGTTCAAGGCAAAGTGGTGAAGGCAAAGAGCCTAAAATGTGCAGGGGTCAGCCTGGGACAGCTGAAGGGAAAAGCCCACAGGGGAAAGGCCCCGCGATGCAATGCTGAGGCCCCACGTGGGCGTAGCCTGGCTCTGTGTTGGGCCTGGGAAGGGTGGGTACCAGTGTGACTCAAGCTTGGGGAACCAGGGTTGGTGGCTCTTCATGGGGCTTGTTAGGTAGCAGGAGAGGTCAGGCAGGCTCCTGTTGGCCAGGTTAGGTAACATGTAACCCTTCTTGCCTCCATGTTCTTCTTTTCCCAACTCACATTTCTCTAGTTGTGGCCTTTAGTTTTCACATTCTTTTCAAAGTGCTGTTTGAGAGCACTTAACATAAATCCTGAAGTTTAAAGTCAGTAACAGATCGGTTAAGGAACTGCATTTTAAAACATATCACCAGGAAGCAAGTAAATCTTAAGATGTCCAGGTACTGCAGCAACAGTTGGGAGTCTGTTGCAAGCTTGTTGGTGATGTGGGGAGGCAGAGAACGAGCAGGGGTCTGGAAGTCTGTGGAATGGGCTTTTTGTGGGCTTTCTTGTAACTCTCCCAGGACAGTGGGAAGTGAGCTCATTTCTGTGAGCCTCAGTTTCCACTGATATAAAGCAAGAAGGTTGGAATTAAGCGATTTCTTCTAGCACTAAATTCTATACCCCGTTAATGGTTGACTGAAGGTAAGAGAACTCAAAATGATTGACTGTGTACTATGACAATTTGCATATATTAGTTCACTTAATTATAGTTACCCTAGGAAGTAGGTGTTATCACCTTCATTTTAGAGATGAAGAAATTGGCCTTTAATGGGGCTGAGTAACTGTGCCAGAGTTACAACTAGTAGGTGGCAGGAAACTGAGTTGAGAGGTTGAGTTGAGATCTGTCTGAATCCGTGGCCCATGCTCTTTTAGAGTAAGGCAGCACATCAAAGTGCAGATAAGTAATTAGGCACAGAGCATCCCCTAATTCCACAGTTTCCTGGAAGCCATGTGGAGTGTTTCACTGGAGTGAAAATAACTGTGATTATTCAGACATACTCAGCTGACACTGACCCTGAAAAGGGCTATGACTAAGCCAAACCTCCAATTTCTGCTTTGCATTTCAAAGAAATTCATATTCAATGTTACCTTCATCATTCCCTTTAGGATGAAATCATTGGGTGAACCACTCACTTCCCTATAGGAAGGAGGAACAATTGCTCTTCCATTCCTGATAAACATGTAATGAATGAATAATCCATCATTACTTGTGTCATAAGAAAACACACCATGGGGAAAGTAATATTCATAATGCACATTTGAATGTTATGTTTATTAGCTGGTTAAATTAAGGTTTACTTAGCTAATGTGTAGGTGCACTTAAGAATGTGAGCATTAGTAGAGTATTAAATGATATTAGTCAAGATAAAAAGTATATCAATATATAAGTGGGTTATGGAATGCTCAAGTTCTGACTGAAGGGAATTGTTCAACTGTTCAATAAAAATAGGTCATGAGGAGCATAAAAGTAATTTAAAATTTTCTAGTAGCTACATTAAAAAAGTAAAAAACAATATGTAACATTGATTTTATATGTACTTTATTTAACTTATAAAATGGAATATTTTAATAAATCATTATAAAGATTATTGAGTTAGTTTACATTTTTTTGGTACTAAGTCTGAAATCTAGTCTGCACTTAAAGCAATTCAACTAGCTACATCTTAAGATTTAGTAATTCCATCTGCTGGTAGTCACTGAATTAGACAGATCTAGTTCAAATTCCTAATTTTGTGAGGGAATGAGAAATTAAGTGTCTATAACCAATAAATGACAGTCAGAAACTTTGAATTCACCTTCTTTGACCCTAGGTGTTGCTTATTCTATAATATCACATAGCCTTTTATAGAAAAATTATGCTAAAAATGAATGCATATTGTTTTGTTGTCTGTAGTTTTTTAAATATCAGGTGTTCTTAAGAACAGATCAGTAATTGATATTTTTAAAACTTAGCTTTACACAACTGTACCAAAAATCACTAAAAGTTACATAACATAATGTTAAAGATTAATTCTCAAATTTAAAGCATTATGCTAATTTTGCATTTTAAAAAGCTGCTAAAACAATTAATTTAACTTTTCAGATGTAAGAGGCCAATTTTAAAGTATCAGTAGTTTTATTGACTTTGCCTGACACAAGAGCTGACCCTTTATTTTGAGGTTCAATGCAAATTTTTTTTTAAAGATTTATTTATTCATATAGAACTGGGGTACAGGCCAGAGATGCGGAGGGTGAGAGGCTTCACCAGAGACAGAGTGGGGAGCAGAACAGGCAGATCCATGAAGTACACTGCTGAGGGGAGCAGCGGGCAGGTCAGGCGAGGTCTGCCGCGCCATGTGGTCACCTCCAGGGCAAGTGGGAATCGAACTCATGCGGAAGTGGCTTTAGTTTCTCAGTGCTGTGCTTTAACCCGCTGCGCCACCAGGGAGGGCCTCAATGCAAATATTTTTGGATTGCAAATGTCTCTGGCAATGTTGTAAATGTATTATGAAATGGTAGCCAGCCAGTTCAGTAATTTTATTTAATCCTCAGAATTATCACCAACCAGCCATTTTGAATTCGTCCTCTCTTCGGCAAGTTGCGGAAGGCACCAGTATTTCTGAAATGTGGCAAAATGACTTAAGGCCCCTGCTGATAGAACGATATCCTGGATCCCCTGGAAGCTTTGCTGCTCGCCAGGTGAGAACACACACACAGACCTAAAGATTGTCTGACATCTCTGTCTTCACATAAGAGATAATGGGGGAGCCAAAGTTCTGAGTTACCTGAAAGTGAGATCTGCCATCTCATCTTCTTAGTCACTCAAATAGGCAACTAAAAAAGTTAAACACTTGAGTAAATGTCTATTCTGGATTGAAAAATATATGTTAACCTAAATCAATGCATGTGTGAAATCTTTGGGGTTTAGTATCAGACTGGAACTGCTGGGCTGCCTGGATTTGGTCTGGCTGATGGTTCGATTTTAGGCTTCTTTTATTATTTTATTTTTTAAAAAGATTTATTTATTTATTCATACAGAACTGGGGTACAGGCCAGAGGTGCAGGGGTGGTGAGAGGATTCACCAGAGACAGAGTTGGGGGGCAGGACAGGCAGATCAACGAAGTACACTGCTGAGGAGAGCAGTGGGCGGGTCAGAGAGGTCTGTGGCTCCAAGCGGGTCACCTCCGGGCTGGGGATCCACCTTGCCCTGAAGCGGTTGCAGCTAGCTTGCAGTGTTGCATCCTAACCTGTTGAGCCACCAGGGAGAGCTGACTTTCTGCTTTTTTTTTTTGAGAAGAGAATCACCAGTTTTAGAGAGCTGTTACCTAAATGGTAGAAGACAAAGGGTTTTGGTTTTAAAGATGAAGCAGATGGCACGGAGTGGTCATGAGGGGCTGCACTAATGGCCTTCACTTGAAGAGGGTTATACCTGTACTCAGAACTAAATTTAAACAAGAATGGTAGGCAGTTTTTTCCTACCAAAGCCCTTTTGGGCATTCAATGGTTTATAATTTATAGGTTATAAATAGTAATTACAGGTTATAGGTTATAAAGATGATAGCTAGAAAAGACCCTCAAACTCAAAAATAATGAGCACTTGATATCAAATTGGTTAGTGAATTAACTTTTGCAGTTATCAATAAAGACGTGCATTGCTAGCATATATTTCATTGTCTACATTTTTATTTATTTTATTTCTGTCCCCTTTTCTCTCTTCCCCATTAAAAAAAAAAGTATAACGATCCAAGATACAGTCTGTTCTGGCCTGTATGTTAGCGCCCCTGGGGCCCAGGTTTTTTGCTACCTACTGTTAGGGCAGCTCAGCTGCTGTCGATGCCCTTCCAGAGCCCGTGCTTCCTGCCTAAGTGCCTTCTAGCGAGAAGAGCAGTGGTTTTTAGAACTTAGTCTAGAGCATTGTAGGGGGAGTTGCAGACTGAGAATTTAAGCCAAAAGCACAGCAGCAAGAAATATTGGTGACCTGATTAGCTTGTGCAGCCAATTTGATTGTTTATAAAGAAATTAGTTGCTAAGATAAATAAAAAATATTTATACTGAGAAAAATCATTACCTCAGGGAGAGCTTTCTTGGAACATTTGTGATGCTTTTGTGGATTTAGAGAGATCAGGACAGAGAGATCAGAGGTGGTTGTCAAGACCTGTTTAGTAGTTGAGACCCAAGTTTGCATGTGAGAAATCAGCTGAGCCAAACTAACACACACACACACACACACACACACAAATATTTAAACCCAATTCGTTGGATAAGTATTCAGGCTGCTATTGACATGCAGGACATTTTACAGAGCAGTTCATCATCTGGATACCAGATGTTCTGGAGTATATGTGTTTTGTTTTGTTTTGTTTTGTTTTTTCATATGACCCCTTTTATGAAGAGAAAAAAATTTCCCCAAAATTTGAGCATAGCTTTCTGAGGAAAGCAATTTTAGTGGCATGGTGATTTCTCTCCATTGAAATTACAAATGTTCTATGTCATGTAACTTAATACATTCTTATTGAAAGTAATTGTTAGTTGTAGTCAACCCACAGTTATTCAAAGTCTACAGTGAGCAAAGCTCCGGAATTAAGAATGATGGAGAATAATAATACAAATGAGATATGAACAATAATGTCCAAAAAGTTAAAAACATTTCCTTTCATTTTAGGAAAAGACAACTGGTAGATGTAATAAAAAGGCAAGATACTGGTATACTAGCTATTGGAGCCAAAGTCCATCTCACTACAGAAAACAACGTGGGCAAACTAGGGGCACTGTTTGTTTGTTTGGCATTTGCAGGATTAACTGTAGAATGCTGCTCTTCCTGAAAGCTTCTTGAAACAGTTTCTAAGGCCTTTGCCTACGTGCTGTGTCATAGCAGTCAAAGCAGACCACACAAGACTTGGCTGGGCTAGGATGTTGTATATTTCTTGGGGGGAAAAGATCTCCCAATCATTTGCAGTTATTATAAGTTATTTATTTTTCACTTCAAGGTCCATTCCCACTGGACAAATTTGTGGGACAAATTACTAGTTATATTGATGGTTAATTTATTGTATGAATTTAAAAAACATTTTTAAGGTAGCATTTTAAAGTAAGTGGAATATGGTCAGAAAAATGAGACAAAGGAAGAATAAATATAGGAAAGGGCAGATGGAACAGAATGAACTCACTCATATCTTCTCATACTACAAATTCTAAATTTGAAAAGAGGGTGTCTTAATCCTGAAAGAGATGTTTCTTTTCCATCTGCTGCATTTTTTCTATCAGTTATTATGTTGCTTGTAAGGCCCACAATGACCAGGAGAGATGGGAAAATAAATTCTTTCTTATTCTATTTTTTAAAAGGATTTATTTATATATGCATACAAGACCTGGGGTACAGGTCAGAGGTGCTGGGAGTGAGGGCCACCAGAGACAGGGTGAGGAGCAGAACAGGCAGACTGACCGAAGTACACTGCTGAGGGGAGCAGTGGATATGACTGGAGGGGTCTGCTGTGCCATGTGGATCAGCTCTCTGGTCAGGGATCAAACTTGTGCCACAGTAGTTGGTGATAGCTTCATGGTGTTGTGCTGTGCCACCAGGGAGGGCCTCTTTCTTACTCTTATCAACATTTGCAATGGGTCTGGCCCTACCTTGAATGCAGAGAGAAAACTACTTGATGTCATATGGCTCAGATTTGCTCATTGAGTCTTAGATTGGTCAGGACTTCATCCATGCCCCAAACATCTCCTTGTTATGGATTTCTTCCTACATTTTCTTTAGCAGAAGAGCACAAATACCCTTTGTTAGTCTTCAAGACATCAATGAAGTATTTTCTGGACTTGGGGCACATGCTAAACCCTGGGGACAAAAAGACCTACCACTGTAGTTCTAGGGCCCCCCCAAAGCTTAATGTGCTAATTGAGACATGTTGGATCCTAATATGCCTCAAACATGCCTTCAAAGCTGCCTAGAAATATTGCAAGTGAACTTTAGCACCTTCAGAACTAGCTCTCTATTGCTTGACATGTAGAATGTCAAATATATATTATTGACACAAGCAAGGGACAGAGAGATTTGTAAAGTAGGATTCTCACCCTATAAAATATACACCTCTTTGCCAAATATATGTGTTTGTGTTAAGTGCATAGAGAAGTACAAGGAGAAGGGAATGAACAATGTGCACTAGGCTATTAATGTTAGTAATATTAACACTTGGTTGGGGGTTGACTGGCAGGAGGAAGGTTATAGGGGAGGCAGAGGATTCACATTTTTGTAAACATCCTTGCTATTAATATAATAGCCATATATTACATTTTGACTTGAAAAGCTGTTACATAAAAATTTTAAAAATTGTTAACAAATGAAAAATATGTCTCGACCTGACACGTTGTATTTTGTTTTGATCAGCACATCATGCAAAGAATTCAGAGACTTCAAGCTGACTGGGTCTTGGAAGTAGACACCTTCTTGAGCTGGACACCCTATGGGTACCGGTCTTTCTCCAATATCATCAGTACCCTCAGTCCCACTGCTAAGCGTCACTTGGTCCTCGCCTGTCACTATGACTCCAAGTATTTTCCCCATTGGGAAAACAGGGTGTTTGTGGGAGCCACAGACTCAGCTGTGCCATGTGCGATGATATTGGAACTTGCCCGGGCCTTAGACAAGAAACTTCTCTCTTTGAAGGTATCTGTTTCCCTCTTGTAGCTTCTTGGGGTAAAACATATTAGCAATAACTCAGAGTAAACTCTAGAATCCTTGGGAAGGTAATTTTTAAATGTAGGTTTTTTGAGTACATTTTGTTCTTTGCTGTAAAATTAGATAAGGTTGAATGATATTAATTGGAAGACTCCATTCCTTGAAATATTAACCTTGAGAAGTTAATACAACAGTGAATTCATGATTGGCACCTGCTTTCTCCATTATGAATTCCCTTTAAATTACATACAGCATTTCTTTGTGGAGAGATGACAGGGTGGTAGAACGGTACAGGCACACTTAGACCTGTGTCTATTGCTTCCTGTGTATAGCCATGAAATATCATAACCTTCTAATCTGAGAAATGATGGCTCTCTTGATGGGGGCAGGGAGCTGCTGCAAAGTTTCTCTGAAGCAGAGAGTGCGTAATTCAGACACATCAAGATGAAAAGCATGAAGCAGAAATGCATTATTGTCATTATCTGTGAATCTCGGCTCAATTTTATGAAGCATAGCAGATCTTTTGTTATGTTTTCAGCTCAAAATACTTCTGGGACTCTCAGATGTTATTTCAGCCTCTGTGTTCTTAAGGGTATATTGGAAAAAAGTGCTAAGCTAGAAGAAGACATTTTGTTCTGATATCACTCATAACCAGTAAACACAATAAAACCAAAACAAAAAACTTTGTTTGCAGGCAGCAAATGCCTTTTTTCGTCCCTCAAAGCTTTATATAGGAGCCAGCCTTTGATACAATGGGGGTAAAGAAGTGAAAGGTTTATCTTGTAATAGAAGTAATAGAGATATTTGGTTCTATTTTTGCTGGATATGCTGAACTTGAAGAAAGCAAGAATTGTTTACAACCTCTCGGTATCCTTTCCACTGTTTTTCCATTTTGTTTTGTTTTATGAACCCTCTATAAGGTCTTTGTCCCATGTTCTCCCATGCTTTTAACTAGCACCCTCCCCTAGCAGTTCAGTCAGAGAGTTCAGAAGCTGACATAAAAGTTAAAATTTTCATATTTGCATTTCTTTTATAAGGACATGAATTGATGTATGACTTAAAGACACAGCCTTTGTGGAGGGTGTGTTTTCTTTTGGTGAGATTCTTTATCTTTCTCTAGGGAGCTCTTATTTGCTTTGGGGGACCAGAAATAGGAATGAGTAGGTTGTTAGGTGGAGATCCCTATTAAAAAAATAAAGTAAATACAGAGACATTTTAAGTAGCTCTCCTAGGAAAATTGGGAGAAAAAACTGGCTGTGAATAAAACTTTTGAGAGAATATGATATAGTCTTCCACTAGTACTTTAATTGGCATAAAAAATTTGTTGTAAGCTCTTTGACAGTCATGGATTAGGGGAGTAATGATTGAAAAGACTAGATACGGAAGCTGTTATTGTCCGAACTCCTTGCATCCCTACTAGCTCCAGCAGTGAGATTACACACACATTCACATCTTCTGTCTTTAATTTTGTTGTGTTCTCCCACTGGAATGAGGAATTGTACTTCTTCATTCCTTGACTTTGTTCTTGGCTCTTTGACTTACCTTGGCTGATGGGATGCTTCTAGCTGTGACACCAGCGGAAGCTGGAAATGTGCTTGTGCATGTGGGATTGATTTCTCACCTTTGTCATTGCAAAGGCAGGGCGATGAGACTTCTTCCTAATCTCAGGAAGAGGATAAGAGAGTTGTCTCTAATGGGTACGCTTGTACCTTATTGCTTAATATGAATAAACCCAACGAATGACCAGATCTTTAAGTCTCAGGCATGAAAACAAGCACGCAAGCATGCAAAAAAAAAAAAAAGAGAAAATGGTTCAGAAAAACTGAGTACAGGAACAGAAGATGACTTAGAGGACAGTATTAAATCTCTTTAGAGGGAGAAGGAAAGCTTACATCCATAACAGAGAAAGGAAGTGTCCAATTCAGTTCCAGTTAGTTCCATTAGGAACACAGGCCCTGGAGACTGTGACGAGGCTGAAAGTGCAGGATTGTGTGTTTCTCAGCAGCTGGTTCAGTGGCTTAATTCAGGCACAAGATAGGCAGAGTTGGACTTCAGTTTCCATTTCTCCATGTCAGTTTGACCAAGGTAAAGAGAGGGATGAAGCTGAGCAAGCACGCAAGAGTGATGAGAACAATTGACTGCCACTTAAGCTGAATATGGAGTGACATGAAGACCCCATGAGGGTGAAGGACTGTGGAAAAGTGAATGATTCAACAGACTAGGGTTTCCTGTGGAGGTGAAGGACTGTGTGGGGTTAGGGTACCAGAAGGACTAATCTGAAATGTGAGATTTGTAAGATGATGGAAGTTATAAAGTGGATCACAGTCCTACTTAGCCTTCCAAGTCTTGCTCTAATACTGTCACTTCCAAAACAACTTTTTTGATGCCCAAGCATTCTGTCACTAGTCTGTCCAGTTTATAGAGGAGTTTTATGTTGCCTTTGTGATCCTTGGAACATTTGGTCATGCTCATGTATTTATATTTCCCAAACCCAAGTAAAATATAGATTCTTTAAGGGAAAGGCTGTAATTATTATTCTTTTTGCCCCAGTTGCATTCCAATGGCAGATTTGTGAACTTAGACCCAATAAAAATCTGCAGCCTAAATGAGTAGAGAAAAAAGCAAAAAAGACTTGCTTTGCTTTCAGGTTGGATTCCCTGATAAGCACACTGTTGACTGTAGTTTAGCAACTCAGTCATTCCTTAGCATGTGGCTTTGGCTCAACACCTGTGACAGGAGGGGAGAAATGGAGTAAGCAGAGGAAGAGTTAAGTTGCATTACAGATTCAGCATCAGCTTCAGTGCACTCCTGGGGTGCTCTGGAGGTGGAATGGCCAGTTGAGAGAGCTCCCAGGCCCTCTTAGACAAGCCTTTGATATAGCATACCATTGGCTCAGACAAATCCTAAAGGGACTAACAGCTGAAGGCCTTCTGCTGACAGTTTTCTCTCTGGAAGCCAAAACAGTATGTCCCTTGAAAGGGAACTGGGAGGTGTCCACCCGAGCAGACTAATCATTTCAGGGTTCTCTCTGGAGCTGGGAAAAAAAAACAACACTTCTCTTTTCAGAAGTCATGCAAGAAGATGAAGTTTCTGTGTGTGAACTGTGGGAGGGGTGATGATTTTTGGAGGAAGCGGTGCAAAATAAATGTTGGCATATTTTCCCTTGCTCTAGTAGCTTCCTGTTCTACCTTTTCCCCCAATGAATAGGAAAGTCTGTTGTTATTTTTTTAATCCTTGCAGAATTTTAACTATCTTTTTGCTGTGTTTGTTGCCAGAATATTTCAGACACCAAGCCAGATCTCTCACTCCAGTTCATTTTCTTTGATGGAGAAGAGGCATTTCTTCACTGGTCTTACAGTGACTCTCTGTATGGATCTAGGCACCTAGCTTCCAAGATGGCATCGACGCCACACCCACCCGGAGCGAGAGACACCACCCAGCTGCATGGCATGGTGGGTCTGCATGAGCTCTCTGGTGCTGTAGCTCAAAGGCTGTGCTTCACTGGAAGCCATAGCTACACCAGTCCCTGACTGAAAAATGCTATAGTATCCTTGGAGCAGAGTGTTTATAAAAGAACATTCCTTGGCAGACATTGGAGTTTTGAGGACTCCCAGAGCTAAAAAAGAATGATTCTGGGTTAGAAGTTATGTTTGAGCTTAATTAAAATGATGTAAAAAATGAGGTAAAGGGAACATCAGATTCGGTTCAGTCCACTCAGAGCACCTCTAGACTGCCCCAATGCTGTCTAGAGGTGGAGAGAACAAATCCCTTGTTTGAGGGCTCCATAAAATTCGAGGAGGCTGGGTCATGAGAGAGTGTGGAAAATGAAGGACATAGTGTAGGGTGGAGAGTTAAGAATGTCCTGGGGGTTTCAAAGTGTCATAGTGACTCTGAGTGTGTCTGTGATATATTTTTAAATAATATAATAGTTTCTTTTTACATCATTTTATGCATTTTTTTCATCTCAGTTGTAATCCCCGTGGGCTTCCCATTGCCAAATCACCCCTGTGCCATCACCATATGTCTGTGATATTTTGATGTCTCAGTTTTGGTGTGGTATTTTCAACAGGGGGTTGGAGACATTATGATGCTGCTTAAAACCCTGCTCTTATTACCAATGAGTGCTACACAAGGTCCCATTTCTACCCCTGTTCCTGACCTACAACCCCTGGTCCTTCACCCCACTTTGGATTCTCTCTTTACTTTGACTTTTTTCTCACATTTAGCTTTTACTCAGCCTTCAAGTCCTTACTAATGCCAGCTGGCAACGTCATACTACCTCTATTTCTCCTCCAGCTGGTGTCTCCCTCTCTGAATAGATGGCCCAGCCTAACCTCCTTTCCCTAACTCTGTCCTTTGCCTTCTCATTGACCTTTACCTTACAAGTCCAGTTTGCATGAAATACCCTTTATGACTCTAACACATCTGACATGGACATTTTGTCCAACTTATTGTCCACTGGTGACTCTTAATGGTGTCAGAGGAACATGGTTAGCACCTCATCCAGCCTCTTCTGTCCAAGTGGCTGGAAAACTTTTGAAGAGGAAAGACCTGGTGGATCAGTAGCAGGGACAAATTTATTATTCAGTCCAAATATATGAATCCATAGTGATAATTAAGAATCTTAGTAGTTTACCCAACCTTTGAATATAACCCTATTTTAAACAAATCTTTTTCCTTCAATGAATATATTTAATCATCATTAATGAGTTAGTAGATACTATAAACCTAGAATATGCAAATTTTATCTGTTATGCTAGATAATTACTGGTACATTGTCTCATTTGTGGAAGTTGGGAGTTTTTTTTTTTAATAATATAATAGTTTATTTTTACATCATTTTGCACATTTTCCTATCTCAGTTATAATCCCCTTGGACTTCCCGTCACCAAATCAGCCATCACCAAAGTCCAGTGCATTTCCCCTCCCCCCACTGTTGAGGTTTTTTTTTTTTTTTTTTAAGATTTATTTATTTATGCATACAGAGCTAGAGGTACAGGGGCAGTGAGAGGATTCACCAGAGACAGAGCGGGGAGCAGATCAGGCCAACTGACTAAGTACACTGCTGAGGGGAGCAGCCTGCAGGTCAGGAGAGGTCTGCTGCGCCATGTGGATCACCTCCAGGGTTGGGATGGAACTCGCACTGAAGCATCTGTGGCAGTGCTGCATCCTAACCCGTTGTGCCACCAGGGAGCGTCCCTAAGTCAGGAGTTTTTAACCTGGGGGATAGTCTTCAAGGAATCCTCAGGCCTGCTGGTTATTGTACAGCCCAAACAATTACAAAACACTGGTTCAATTATAGAGGCTTATAACCAGAGAGGCTTTTAGAGATTAGAAAAGTTTGAATTCCTCATTGGATAGGAAATGAAGTAGAGACAGAGACATAAGGTTAGATATCGCCTCGTCAAAAACTTTTTTCTTATTAACTGCTTTGAGGAGTACTATCCAAGTACTCACTTATATGCACTTGAAACATTATAGACTAAGGAAAATTGCCAATTAGAATGGAATGAGATCAGATAGGCTTGGGTTCTTGTCTGGAAAATATAGCAAATGTACTCTTTAAAAACAAATAAACTATGAAATATTTGTCTAAATTATCCTTAGTGATATCCTTTTGGACTTATAGACACGAAACATCTATCATTTTCTATTTATCTTCATTGTGTAAGTAAGATATAAAAAGTTCTCCAAAAGTAATTACCGTACCATGTTATTAAACTGTCATACATTTATACATAGTTGCTCATAATAGTCTCAATTATTAAAGTACAGTTAATTTTGATTGATTTTTCAATGTGTATAAAAGGTGCTTTGGTTAACAGTGGCAAAACAATGTTTTTTCTCTCCTAGGATTTACTGGTTTTATTAGATTTAATTGGAGCTCCAAACCCAACATTTCCCAATTTTTTCCCAAACTCTGCTAGATGGTTTCAAAGACTTCAAGTAATTGGTAAGCACCGCTATTAAAAAGCAGTCTTCTTACTGACAAACATTTTTGGGAAAAAATTAAATTTACTATTTCAGTGTATAATTTAATTATATGATATACTTTTCTGGCTTTTTTCTTACTTTGTTGGCTAGCTTATATTACTATTCATGTCTCTTGGTAGGCTTACATTGGTTTTCTGCATGAAATTGCATGTTGGAATGGAAACAAAATATTGCTTTTTATATTTGCATATCCTTAGAAATTTTTTGAAAATATTTTCTAAGATCCTTGTTTGAAACAATTTGGAATGCATTTATGGAAAAAATTTATTCAGTAAACTATACCAGCTGATGATGAATGTTATGTCCTTATAATGATAACAAAAGATATTCTTCATTTTTTTTTAAAGATTTATTTATTTATGCATACAGAACTGAAGGGTACAGGCCAGAGGTGCAGGGGTGGCGAGAGGCTTCACCAGAGCCAGAGTGGGGAGCAGAACAGGCAGAGTGACTGAAATACACTGCTGAGGGGAGCAGCGGGCGAGTCAGGAGAGGTCTGCCTCGCCATGTGGTCTCCTCCGGGGCAGGCGGGAATCGAACTCATGCGGAAGTGGCTTTAGCTTCTCAGTGTTGTGCTTTAACCCGCTGCGCCACCAGGGAGGGCCGATATTTTTCATTTTTTTCCTTTTCCAGCTCTGTTTTTGTCATCTATTTTCCCTACTTATCCAGATGTTGTTTTCTTTGACTCTAGTACAATCTCTATCTTCAACTGAGTAAGAGATTGGATGTAACATCTTTCAAGAGTCATTTAAGAGATAGCTTAGTGTCAAATAAGTGAGGGCCAGCTAGGTCTGGCCAGGCCAGGCCAAACAAAGAAACAGGTATCTTTGGCTAAGAGAGAAACTTGGACTTGGAAAAGGAAATATCTTTGTTCCTCTAAACCTCTACCTCCAGCACATACATGCGCACACACACACACACACACACACACACAGAAAAACCAGTTGACATCAGGAAGAGGTAGATTTTTATTATAGAATCTGGGCTGGAGGTTCTGTATTTTGAGGTCAGCACTTTAGACGAGGAATTCCTTACCAGCCGCACCGATTTCTTGTAGTAGGATAGAATTGTGTTCTTTCTAAGCAGTAGGAAGAGTATTGCCATCTTAACTCATGTTTCTGCCATACATTCAGAACTTGCCAATACCCAGGTCTAGAATATCATGAGAGAAACTTTGACCTGGAGCTCACAAGCTTATTTTTGGCAAACTTCAGTTCCTACTTTGAAAGATTGCTATCGTGACTTTATTACCATAAGGTTCTGGGGCTGCTTTCCTCTAGTATGTTTTCTTTTCTTTAATGGTGGTCTCAGGAAGTTGAGTTTGGCCTTCTTTCAAGGATTTTGTGCACTTTTCTTATTTCCTCCATCAGAATGAATTTATATCGGTAACTTGCACCTTAATGCAATTTTAGCCCCTTATGTTGCCCTTCCCAGTGATATTTAGACTTCAAACTACATCTCTAATTACATAAGGAAAAGTTATATCCTAAGGTAAATGTTCCTAATATCTTATTACATGTGCATGCTTACCACATTACATTTCCTCTGTAAATTTAGCAAAAAAGAAAAGAAAAAGAAAATCCTAAAACAAAAACAACTATCCTGGGAAGTTTCAATTTTCTTAAATTCTTCTTGTATTCTCTTGTAGCAATGAACATCTTGGAACCATGTAACACAGAACATATTTTATGGACTATGTAACTCTTGAGTCCTGGTTACAAGATGACAAGAACAGGGACTATAAACTAAAGGTTCTCAAAGTTGAGCACCACCAGAATCACATCCAGGAGCTGTTGCAACAGATTCCACCCCCAGAGTTTCTGCCTCAGTAGGTCTGAGGAGGGGCCAGATGGTTCACATTTCTCACAAGTTCCCAGGTGATGCTGATGTTAATGGTTAGAGAACACACCTTGGGAACCACCAGTGGATGTTGTAATGATGTCTCTTTCTAGAGAACGTCTGATCAGGGTATTTCATCTCTATTCTGTTTGAGTATTCCTCTCTCAAATCCTCATGTCTCTCCTGGCATTCTTCATGCGGGATGCTAGGTGACTAAGCACACAAGCATTTGTCTTCCAATTTCCTCTGACTTTCTCATTCTCCATTTCTCTATTAATCTATTGAGTTTTATTCCTAAGGAGATTCTTACCCGTAAATCAAGAATCATGTATGATTCTTTTCTCTGTAGAACTACTCCAAAATGAACACACCCACGTTCAGCCCAGGTATTTATTGTCATGGGTGTGACTGTGCTTACTATTACATAATGTTTCGGAAATGATGTTCACATGTGCTAAGGTTTCATACTCTGGGCGTATTCTGAACATTGATCAGATAAAAATAAATATTCATCTGCTGTCTGTCACCTGCAGAACATGAACTCCATGAATTAGATTTGCTCAGGAATCACTCTTGGGAGTCGCCGTATTTCCAGAATTATGGTAATGGAGGTGTGATTCAGGATGATCATATTCCATTTTTACGAAAAGGTAATGTGTGTGTGTGCATGAGTGTGTGTGTGCTCATGTATGTTGTATGCATGGGCATGCACATTTTTTACTTATTGTATTTATGTGTATTTGAACTAAGGGATGAACTTTACATTTAATTAATTGATTAACTAAATGTCCAACAATATCATGGCTTCTATTTTTTCATGAAAGCCATTCCAAATTCCTGAATATGCACTTCTATTTTTTCTTACACCTCTAATATTTATGAAAAAGCTTCTATCACCACTGACATGCTACTTTCTACTTTACTTTTTTTTTTTTTTTTAAGATTTATTTACTTATGTATACAGAACTGGGGTACAGGCCAGAGATGCAGAGGGTGAGAGGATTCACCAGAGACAGAGTGGGGAGCAGAACAGGCAGATCGATGAAGTACACTGCTGAGGAGAACAGAGGGCAGGTCAGAAGAGGTCTGCCTCACCATGTGGATCTCTCCAGGGCAGGCGGAGATCGAACTCATGCGGAAGTGGCTTAAACTTCTTAGTGCTGTGCTTTAACCTACTGCACCACCAGGGAGGGCCTCTACTTTACTTTTTAATTGAGTTAGACTATCTCCCCTCTAAGTACTAACCAGGCCCCACCCTGTTTAGTCTGATATCAGTTGTGTTCAGGGTCGTATGGCCATAGATTTATAGAATTAGATTGTGTTCTTATACTTTATGTATTCTGATGTTTTTCTGGTTAATGAAGATGAAATCTATTTGATATTAAGATGGTGGAAATCTAAATCAACCCAAAGACTTTTGCCTTCAGGGTCTTGCTTTTGCTTCTCTACTCCTTGGCAGGAGTAAAGGCCCACTTTGAAAATGTAACTTAAATTATATTACTTCTCTGACTTAAAGATCTGGTGGGTTGCCATCACATAGAATACATTTTTACTTGACTTACAAAGGCCTCCATTTTCCAGCCATTTTCTGACTCTCTTCTTTTTCTCCAACATCACTTCCTGCCTCTCACTCAAGATATTGGTCTGATCCAATCAGAGTCCTCATTCCTGTTCCTCAGTCAGAAACAGCACACTGTTGCTCAGTTGCTAAATTGCCCATTTGCACCTGCTAATACTGCTGCCTGGAATACTGATTTTCTGCGGACTTTGCTTTCCCTGTTGTTGCATGTCTCTATATTTAAATATTAGTTTCCAAATAGACCTGACTGGGCCCTGTTCTCTGCCCCTCAATCTCTAGTCCTTTATGTATTGTTCTCTATAAACTGTATCACTTTCTGAACTTACTTTTTATTTTTGTTTTCTTGCCTCTTTCTCTACTGGAGTGTAAGCTCCATTTGCACAGGGTTTTGACTTTATTCTGATAAAATTTGCAGTCCTAGAAAGGAATGGCACAAGGTGGGCCCTTTGTAATTACTTACTAAATGAATATTTGTTTAATGAATGAATGATTTTGGAGTACAAGGGAAGCTAGATAGAAGCATTATAATAACACAAAGATGAATTATTCACGGGCTTTATAGGGTACAGTACTCTCAGACTTTTGCTTAAAAAATGACATTTTCTCATGAGAAATATGCACTTCATTGTAAGCTGGTTCTTTCTTATTAGGTGTTCCAGTTTTACATCTGATACCATCTCCTTTTCCCGAAGTCTGGCACACCATGGATGACAATGAAGAAAATTTGGATGAAGCAACCATTGACAATCTAAACAAAATCATACAAGTCTTTGTGTTGGAATATCTTCATTTATAATATTCTGACTTTGCTTATGGTAACTGCACCTAGTATTGCATTAAAAACCAAGGTGCCATTTCAAATAATCCGACTTCAAACATATGCTGTGTGGAAACTTCTATCCTATAGAATCAGTCTGTAGGTACCTTTGAGTATGTGACCAGTAAGTCCTAGATTTACTTCATGTCCTAAATTGATTGTTAATTTTTATCTAGAGATTAAAGAAAGGTAAATGTTGAAAAAAACAGAAAATAAATCTTTTAAAAAATTCTCTGGATAAGAAATTATGACAAGTCAGATTCAGATATTTAGTATTATGGCCTAAATAATACTAAAATATGATGGTGATGTGCAATGTGTAGCTTTAGTTTTATGATTTTTTATATTTGGGAATCTATTGCATGTAATAATGAAATGTAAGGTGAAAATTCTTAATTTTCTTTGAGAAATGATTATAGGGTTTATTTCATGGACAATAAATCAGAATTGAATGCCACAATGTGAATCATTTTTTAAAAAATAATTACTATTATTGCAAATGACTTTTTAAAAGAGATTTTATTTATTTATGCATATAGAAATGGGGTCCAGGCCAGAAGTGCAGGAGCAGCAAGAGGATTCACCAGAGACAGAGTGGGGAGCAGAACAGGCAGATTGACAAAGTACACTGCTGAGGGAGCAGTGGGAAAGACAGGAAAGGTCTGCTGCACCATGTGGGTCACCTCTGGGGTGGGGATCGAACTTGCACTGAAGTGGCCACGGCTTGGCTTGGCTTAGCTTTGCAGTGCTGGGCTCCAACCTGCTGCAACACCAGGGAGGGCCCACTTATATATATATATATATATATATATATATATATATATATATATATAAAATCATACCATTTATAGCTTAATTTTTGTAGCTTTATCAATGTAGCATTTTCACTGTAAAAATAATAAAAAATGGGAACTAGATTTAAAATGATAATTCCATTATATTAACAATATCTCCTTTCATAAAAACCCCTTCCATTCTTTAGTTTTTCATCATATATGTTTCGATGCAGATAAACAATAGTTATAATCAAACTACATCTATATATTTTTCTGCTCTTTTGTGGCTAATTACATAATTACCAATCACTTATTTACTGTTCTAATCTTGGGTAAAGATAAAGACAGAAAAAGATTGTTGAATGTGACCTACAGCATGTTAAAGTAACACAGTTGTAGTACAGTAGATATTTTTGCATAGATAAGCGATCTCATGTTCAAGTATGGTTGCTTTCTTATAGCATATGTATTTCAGGAGACTCATGGAAGCAAAATTGTTTAAATTGGGAACATAGGAACTCATGGATTTTTCTTTAGCAAGAAAACTATGTACATGTACAAACTTGATCAATTAAACAAGAAACCATTGTTGCCATGTAGATGAAGTTAGTGGGTGCCATTGTTCTTTGTGGGCCCATATCTGAGAAGACATTCAAAAAATGCTCCCTGAATTAATGTGCTGAGATCAGAAAAGGAGTAAGACAGATAAACTGAGTAGCAAAGTAATGGAAGTTTGAAGTTCAATGACAATGGAAGTCAGAGAGAAAGAAGTTTACTCACTAAAATGTGCTTTCCAGAAGAAAAAAAGAATTTTTTTTGTATAGGGCAATATAGTAATTATTTAAAAGAATAACTATGATTATATATAACCATACACACATCTATCATTATGGTCTATAATTCCATGTTGGTAAATTTTTCCAAATGACATTTTTCTGGGATATCTTTTTATTTTTCAAATCTGCTTCTAAAATTAGGTAAATGGATGTTGTGCTTTTGAGAGTTAGTGCTTATTGAGTTCTAAATGCCTCAGAAAGTGTCATAAGTTCTTTGTATGTTTTTTTCCAAGCAAACCCTCACAATAGTTCTAAGGGGTAGGTATTAGTAACTCATTTTATGATACTCTGTGTGGTTTAGATATCTTCTTCAAGATAAAGCGGTTAGTAAGTGGCAAAGGTGGGCTTTGAACACACTAGTCTGGGCTCTAAATCACTATTGTATTTTATCTCTTTAAATGAAAACTATACAGAACATTCCTAATACCAGATGCAAAGCACCAAGTTGTATAGGTCACTTGCTGCACCTGGGAGATGAAGCTTAAACCACTGCTGCCGTAATTCACTTGACAAAGTTGGGCTTCAGAGAGGCCTGTCATTTGCTTGCAGAATTACTTCTCTGCCTAGTAAAGGCTATTTTTATATCCACACGGGTATAACAGAAATCACTGTGAGTGATTCCTGGGCTACATAATCTAAACCGCAAAGCAGGATTAAAGGAGACAGTTTTCTGAGTGAACTTTTAAATGATAGAAAGCATTTGAAAGGGGTTCAGGAAAAAAACATTTAAACAACTGAAAAAAATTTAATTGATGGTATTAAAGCAGAATGAAGTTTTAATAAAGAACCTAAACATTAGTTGACATTTATACATATATAACTATAAGCTGAAACAATAAATTCCTTTTGAAACAAAATGAAATGAATAGGGGACCTATTATAATCTGTTGAGTTGGCATTAGTTGAATTATTTTTAGAGGAGGAAGTTGGAGGGTATGTTGAAAAGAGATAAAAGGAGAAATAAAAACATAAGCAGTTTAATGTGATGGAGTTTTCCTTCCTTCCCAATGCACATCCTAAAATCCTATTTACTGAGAGTTGGCACTAATAGGGGAAAGCAAACATGACGCTATAAAGGGAGCCATTTTAAGGGATTAATTTTGATATTTGTCTCTGAACTATGTTCTGTAAAATACATGTCAGTCAGAAATACTACTTTCGAAAAATTTTAGCTCTAAAGGCAGAGCTCCGTAAATATTATGTTGTATTTGGAAATTTTCTCTGTGCATTTTGGAGCATTTTACTGCCCCTCAGAGAACAATTTTTATGTTTTGTCTATTACTGTCAGCCCTGCAATACATAGGGTTATTTTCTCCTTCAAGAGGATTGAGTTCAAAGGAAAATAATCATAAAAGAGTATTCATAACCTTGGCATTTAAAAAACTTACGAGTCTGTTATTGTAGCTGGAGGGTTGTGACTAGAAGAGAAAAGACAGATCCTTCAAAATGGAGACATGTTTTTGGTGGTGAAGCAGTTGTCATAAGAACAAAGCAGCCCATGTTTCCAGCTTCAGCTCCAAATCCTTCAACTGTTTATTCCATGGACCTTTTTTCTTCCATCAAAGAACTGCAGTCATTGTGATCCTGTGGCAAAATTATGTGAAAACCGAACATTCGTGCAACCAATGTGGCCCAGCTGGAGGCAATTAATTTTTTTAAAGGAGGCACACGAGACAGGAGACATTTCCATTTCTCTAATGCACAGAGAGCCCCACACAAGGCTGGGGCATGATAGAAAATGGCATCTCAATTTCTTTGTGAGACTTAAATCTGAGGAATGAAGACATGGGGATAAAGGAAATAGAAGACGAGGGAGACTAGTTACAGTAGCCACAGTAATTTAAAGCAAAGTTTATAGAGGACATTTGAGGAAATTACTCAAGGTGGCTGTTCATGAGGTCTGGGCTGTGCTTTGACAGTCAGTCTTCCCACCAACTTCTGACCTCAAAGATAAATGTATGACTGAGGTTTCTTCTGAGTTTCAGGACCACTTTCTACTCAGTCTGAAATTCAGAGAGTAGTTTTGAAGTGGTTCAACTGCCTCCCCTTTTTTCTCCCTTCTGTCTCACTTTTCTGACTTCTGCTAGGGTGCTCCTTTTTCAGGTTTCAGGTAGCGAAGCTGCTCTGTTGCGAGTGGCAGGCAGACACCACGGAGAGAGAGGAGTCCCTGCCATGGTTCGCAGACGGGCTGAGGTGGGGAGAGGATGTTGTTACCAGTCGAGCCAGCAGGATGGTATTGGAGACATCCTTCAAATCTCCCTAAACATAAAAATTGGCTCAAGGATCCTGGCATCACACCCAGCAGCAACAATTTATGGCAGTTTTGAAGAGAGTGGAGATGAAAGGACTGCCTGTGTGGTGGCTGAAGGCCTCAGTCTGAATTTGGTCGGCGTGCTCACGCAATGTGAAGTCATATTATTGTGCTCATATTTCAAAGGCAACACATGGACTGTAGCCCACTCTTCTGACATATCCAAATTTGCCAGTGGAGACTTTAGACCATTTGTTTGAGAATTAATATTGAGAACACAAAATCACCAACAAGGAAGAAAACCAACATGGATAATAGCAAAGCAAAAATCACAAAAATTATGAAGGTAACATAAAAACTAGATTTTAAATCTGATGACCTTTCGACAACGTGGAAAACTTTACCCTTTTACATTGTGGCGCACTGTGGGGTACAAGAGGTCATTGGCATTCAGAGATTTAACGTTTGTGGTTTTGGCTAAAAAGAATGACATGTAGTAAATTATCTGAGCTAAGAGATTGGCACGGCTAAGTGAATGAGCTTAAATGACTGCCAGTCATCATTTTCACTGCTGTTTATTAGTCAAGTATACAGTAATACTTGCAAAGTAATAAAACCCATTTGTCTATAAAAAATGATTCAGTCCCCCTATCCCTCCAGTCAGTTGCTTTTGGGGAGAAGCAAGAGGTTCAGAGAAATTATGGTGATTCAGAATAGCTTTCTAAGTGTCTTTAATCTTCCTATTGTTAGGTTAAATCAAGATATGAAAAGAACACCTTAAAACTTCAGTTTTTAGCTACAGATTAGAGACTTGCTTTTAAAAATCAAATTAAAAATTCTCAGTTTGGTGATAGACTAGACTTCAGAGAACTTGATTTCTGCTGGGTGATAGGAGTAAATTCAGCTTGGTGGGGAGGGCCTGAAGAGATTTTCTAGTTTACTTTTTCTCAAAGGGAGATAGTACTTGTCTCTTAGGGTCCTTTGGAAAGTGTGGGTGTGTCTAACTGGATAGGTGATTCAATTGTGTTGTCATAATCAGGGATACTTCTGTTATTTTGTGAACAGAAGCAAAAGCCAAGAATTGTCCCACCAAATGTCATTGGTACCTCAACTGAGAAACACCGAGTAGTTTTCAGTTCCAGCAAGATCCAACGAGAATGTATCACTTAATATTCTTTTGGATAGCATACACTGTATAAAAAGGAATAATGAAGTAAAATAAAATAAAATAAAAATTAGATTCCTTTGGTTATAAGTAACAGATATCCCAATTCAAACTTACTTAAGCCAAAAAAAAAAAAAGAGGATTATTTCATGTGTCTTGTTTCAGGCACAGCTAAATTCAGAAGCTCCTTCTGTTCTGCCCTCCTCTGAGTACGCTCCGAAACTTAGGCAAGATTTTTAACTGTGGGCAAGATGGCTGCCAGTGGCTTCCGGGTTCATACTCTACAGTTTCAATTTCGGTGAATGAAAACTATTCATTTCCTGCCCACCCAGTCGTAGGCATGATTTTCATTACCTAAAGTGGGGTTCTAGTCTTTGCTAACCAGTCTCTGGGATCCAGGATGAGGCTGAAACACACGGATTA